TTTCTGCAGGAGGCAGCTATGAATATGGCAGCAGCCCATAAGGTTGATGGGCATCTGCATAGGACAGGGCCAGGGTGAGTAGATGGCAACAGTTAAGGAAGATAATCCAAATGAATATATTAACCAATAGGAGTCTGGTTTCTTACTGGTGGAAAAGGAAATTAAAAATAGGTAAGAATGACAGAAAACTAAAATAAACCCTAAGGTACTTACTTTGAATTGGGGGTTTTAGCATGAACTCATGGTTTGTACATATAAAATAAATACAGTTGGTGAGATATGTGAATATTTATACACAGGCAGATAGACAAACAGTACATGCAAACATAAATAGGTTACCCATCTCTGCCCACTGCAAAGATATGGAAGCATCAATACTCTGATTATGATTTCTTCATATAATTTTTCAATAAAAGAAACCAGAGCTCCATGGAGAAATAACTGATTCTAGGGGACAGAACTTATTCTAGTAAGCATAGGTCCAAGATGAGCCTAGAATGCTTCTTCTCCTTCTCCTCCTTTCTTTTTTTGGTCATGTGAGCAAATGAGGAAGCAAAGAGTGGTGGGAATAGGTCAAAATTATGCAGACAGGTGGTGCTTAAAGGAGCATTCACTGGCTGAATATGATAAATGTGACCATCATAATGAATTATGATAATAAGCTAGCTACTGATGAGCCCATAGTAAAATAAATAAGTAGAGAAGAAAACATTTTTTTTTGCAATGGAGTGTCAACTGATGATTGTAGAAGGATGAGGGAAATATAAAAAGTATAATTTGACATCATAGTAATTAACTTGGCCAATGTCCAGATTCATTTGAAGACATAATGCTTGATCCCTTTGTGATGCTTCTTGGTGCTCCTAAGGCCACGGTGGTATATTCCACAGAGACATAAGGGTCAATCACAGAAATCTCTGAACCACACTCTCTCCCAACCATTTCCTCAGTCTCTGGGAAGGCTCATCTTCTCCCTCAGTTTTAAGCCATTTTTCCCTTTTCCACTTCTTAAGAAGAATTCAGGTAAGAGTGTTTTCTACACATCTGAGATCTTCCACTTTCAGCCCTAAAGCATGAAAATCATTGAGAATCACTATAGGCAAAGGAACCTAAATTGCTGATGTAAAGATTGATCTGCCTTCTCGGAATGCTGGAAAGAAAAATGCCTTTCATTCTTTAAGTTTTCCATACCTTTGAGTATAAAAATCATACTTATAAAACTGATATTTCACCATATTGTTCATCTTCTATTATGCAGGCCGATAATGTTTTAAAACGTTTTATAGGGCTGGGATTGTGGCTCAGCAGTAGAGCACTCATCTGGCACATGCGAGGTCCTGGGTTCAATCTTCAGCACCACATAAAAATAAATAAATTAAATAAAGGTATTGTGTTCAACTACAACTAAAAAATATTTTTAAAAATTATAGTTGGTAAAGGGTCAGGTAGTAAATATCTTAGCCTTTGCAGGCTATATTATTCACCTATACTATAACATGAAGGAGGCACAGACAGTACATAAACAATGAATGTGGCTGTGTGCCAATGAAACTTTATTTATGGATACTGAAATAAAAATGTAGGACTATGAATGTAGCTCAGTGGTCTAGCACTTGCCTAGCATGCATGAGGCTTTGGGATTAATCCTCAGTAACCACCCCCCTACAAACACAAAGAATATAATAGAAAGCTTATAAGTATAATAGAAAGTATTTTTTTATTTTGAATTTTCTGTATTTTAAAAAAGTGAAATCATGGTCTGGGGTTGTAGCTTAGTGGTAGAGCGCTTGTCTTGCATGCATGAGGGTTCTATCCTCAGCACCATATAAAAATAAATAAATAAAAATAAAGATATTGTGTCTATATACAACTAAAAAAATAATTTAAAAACATGTAAAAATCATTCTTAGCTTGTGGGTTGTATAAAAATAAGCCGTACAGATCTGGCCTTTGGGTTATAGTTGGCCATTTTCTACTGGAAGACAATCAGATGAGAACTTTTACATGGATGTTCCCAGAATTCAGAATTATTTTCTTCCATAAGTAGCATATTTTTTGTTCATTTATCATAGTCCTTACCACTTTCTGTCAAAAATAATCATTTTGTTGTACACTCAATCCAGGTGATTGTGCTCTTTAAAAAAAGAAAGAAATGTGCCATGTGCTTTCTTTAAGCACCCACAGAGCCTAGGTCTTCAAACTGTTTTGATTGAAAGAAACTGAATAGTGGGCAGAACAGATTGAATAGATGAAACTGTTCTGCAGTATAATTTGTACAAAACTGGCTTTGTTTAGGTCAAGGACTTTGAGTTTTGTTACAGACAGTTTGTAATTATTTATGTGTACTCTCATTTTCTTCTCCCTAATTACCTTTGTTAACTCATTTAAACTGCTTCCTGGGGCAATTCTTTTAGGAACCAGAATATGAATCTCAGCAGAAAAACCAAGATTTCGGAAAGTTTTTTTTTTCCATTTATGATTTTACTTATCTTTAAGATTGTTAGAAAAACTGGAAATATGGTCTTAGCATGAATTTTTAAAAACTTTTTTTAAAAAACTTCGAGCAATACTTTTCTTTCTATATGTTCATTTGGTTTGTAGGAAAATATGGCTTTTAGAGAGTTGATATGTTCCTTTTTTTGTCTTAGTAATATCTTATGCTATCTTGTTTTGCATTTCATTAACTGGACAATAATCCTATGAAGTAAGTAGACAGAATAGAATCAAGATTCTTTAAGGTATAAGAATTTTTAAAAAATTCAAAGGCAATTTAATGCCCCCCCCAAAAAAACCCCATTGTTTTAGCTCAGTTAACTGAGAAATAGAGGGAAGGATTTTTCTTCCAACTTTTGCTGAATTAGCTCTATTTTGAAAATGATTAAGAGGAGGACTATGAACTGTTAGCCCAACCAGGACTTGATGGAAGAAGAGAGGTACCCAGAAGGAGATGCTGAGCAGATGATAAATGTTCTTTGAATTGGGTTTAGTGGCCATCTATATATGAAAAAAGGAGGCATGAATAAATGAAATAACTTTTCCAAGTTTACACTCTTGGTTGGTGGAAAAGGTGAAACAGAAACCCATGCCTCCTCACTTTATATATGCCTCTACTCTTGTCTGTATAATCAAGTTATTTCCTTGATTTGTGTACCTTCATATCACCATTTCAATATAAAAGCTAGACCCTGGGCTGGGGTTTTTTGGCTCAGTGGTAAAAGCACTTGCATAGCAAGCATGAGGCCCCGGGTTCAAACCACAGCACCATAAGTAAATAAATAAATAAATAAGACAAAGGTTAAATAAAAAAAAAAAAGTAGAGCCTACAAGTTTAAACACTGTAATGTCATTCCTTTAAATCTCTTTGTTTTCTGCATGTATATCAATAACTTCACATTGAAGAAACTATAGTTATGCCTGTCTTATTTCCTTCAGTATGTGTCAATAACTCTGCTCTTGTAAAATAATCTAATGGTTTTCTGTATCTTTGGTTGTATTTTTTATTTTTTTTAAACAGGATTTTTTTAATTTATTATTTTTTTAGTTGAAGTTGGACACAATACCTTTATTTTAATGTAGTGGTGAGGATTGAACTCAGGGCCTTGCACATGCTAGACGAGCGCTCTACCACTGAGCCACAACCATCGCCCCTTATTTTGGTTTTGCTTCCACACATTTTAGGCATTTTATACCATCACTTTAAGGTATTTTTAGAAGGTGGTCTTTAGAAAGAACACAAAATACGAATAAACATACACTGATAGGTAATTATGCTTAACATTCCTTAATTTTTGTGATGGGCATAAACATAATAAAAGGTTTTATTAAAAAATGACTTATTTTTCTAAGGTAAATAGTTGATAGGGCAGAAAAAGGACTTGAGTAAGGGCCTTCCCAGGTGGATTCTAGTCTGGCTTTATCAATTAGAAGTTGTGAGACTGCCATCAAAAGGATTGAACTCTTAACCTTAGTCGTACTCTCACTTGCAAAAAGAGGGGTGGTATTATCTCTTATTTAAAGCAGCATGTAGGCTGTAAGTTACAAAACAGCATATATATATAGGTACTCCAACATTTTTCCAAAATCTGGTTTTTCCTATGACATAAAAAAGTATAGAAACATGTGAAAACTGTTAGCTTTAATAGGGATTTCCTCTTGTAAGAATTGAGTCAATTTTCCAAAAACTTCAACTCAGAATGTTTTATATATGGGAACCACAGACACAAACAATCCGCAAGCAAAAATGGTTTCTTCTATTTTTCTGTTACCTAGTACTTGTTTTTATATTCCATGTTGTGACTGGCTCCTTGTATCTCTGATGCGCAGTCAGAAATTTTCTTTTTGAAGAAAGGAAGTTACACTAAGAAAAGCATTTTAACTTTTGCTCATTACAAATGTTCCCCTAAGAGGTGATAGCTTTAGACCTTTCCCAGACTCAAGAAGATTCTTTCCACTGTGAGCCAAGCCAGGGATGCCACCGGAGGACCGCAGCGCCACCTCCTGGGGGCCCGGGCAGAGCTAACCAGGAGCAGCGGTTGAGGCTAGATTACTTGTAAGAGGTCTTCACCGCTCAGATGACTCAAACACACTTCAGACAGTTTCCGTGCACGAACCTACCCCAGAAAGTTCACCAGTCTTAGCCGTACCTCCCAAACCCCAAGATCGCTCAGACTACGCAGACACCTATTTCGAGAAAGGCAAGGGACGCAATAGAGGCGGGACTTCCTTCGGTGGGTGGAACTTTGCCCTGTGGGCGGGGCTTTACGCGGCTAGCGATAGCTGGCTCGGTAGAACACAGTCCGCCCTGCGGGCGGGATTACGCCAGGTGGGTGGGAACCTGCTAGCAGGTGTAAAATTAAGCTTGGCGGGCGGGGCTTCATCCGCGGGACTCCTGACGGTGGGCGGGGCATCGCTCTGTATACCGACCTGCTGAGAAGGGTAGGACTCCACCCTGTGGGTGGAGCACGCGTTCGAAGAGCGGGGCCTCGCTCTGCAAGGCTGTGGGCGGGAACTACGCTAAGTGGACGGGGCCTCTTGTGTGAAGGCTAAGGTTGGACGGGATCTCGCCCTGTGGGCGGGACTTCTGAGTGCCAACCCCACAGGGTGGTTGACTCCGTCCCCTGGGCGGGACCTAGCTCGGTGGGCGGAGCTACGACTTGGGACAGGAACCTTGCGAGGATCCTCCCACCGGAACTTCCTGAATCGTGTGCCTGCAGATGGCGTCACCTGGAGGTTGAGCAGCTGCACGTTGGTGTTGGTATCGAAGATCTGGTGAGAGGTAAATAAAATTTTTTTGACTGGCTAGTTTTGAATTCACTGGGTTTGAGGGAGGCCTGAGCCGGCATCGTGCCGCTGTGGCCCGAAGGGCCCGTTTTCATCGTGCTCTACCTCTGGCAGCCCTAGTGGATAGCAGGCCTACAAACCGAGGCCCGAAATCCTGGTGCCACCCCTTAGCAGGTTCCCAGTGTGGCACTGTTATGATCTCGATGTCCAGGTGGTTGTCAGAGAATTTTCTTCCTTATATACTGGGGATTGAACCCAGGGACGCTTCCCCACTGAGTCATACCCCCCCTTTTTTTTTTTTTTCCAAATTTTGAGACTGGGCCTCGCTAAATCTCGAACCTGCGATCCCCTTGCCTCAGCCTCTGGCGTCGCTGGGATTACAGATGTGCGCCATCACGCCTGGCTAGAGAATTTTTCTTAAAATTAGGAGGGTTCCTCTACAAGGATATATAATTTTATGTTGGTTTGTTTTACGGTATGGGGGTTTGAACTCAAGAGGTTTTACCACTGACTTACGTATATCCACATGTGATTTATTTTGAGACGAAGTGGTTGAGGCTGGCCTTGAACTTGCCAACGTGGGCCTTAAATTTGCAAATCTGCCTCAACCTCTGGAGTCGCTGGGATTACAGGCAAGGCCTTGAATTGCAGTTCTGCGCCATCGTGCCCAGCTATATATATTATTTGTAATATATAATACTATATGTGGCTGTGTGTGTTCCATAAACATATCAGTTCTGTTCTGTACCCGACATAGCAGTTGATTAATAAATGAACACTAGGTGCATAGATGGGTTTTAGTTACTATTGTAAATTTTAGATTACTGTATTTGAATGGTTTTAATGTGTATTTTCTGCTTCTTGTGTAATAATCATGTCTTCTCTACTGTATTCACTTCTTTTAAGAACATGTACCATTGGAATTCAATAGCAGTGCTGTCTCTCTGGAGTTTTCTAAGGCTACATTAATGGAGGATATGAATTTCAGTCAAGAGATAAAATATGAGCAAAAAAGAGACAGGAAAAATACCAGAGTTGCCTTTAGCGATATTAGGCCAGGATGGTTAGTGCAGTGTATGTAAATATAGGAGTTAATATTTGGTAGATTTAGATGCCAGGCCAAGGAAAATTTCTCTTTCTATATTAGGAGAGACAGTGAAGGTTTTTAAAATTGGGAAGGTTCATCACATGGCAATAATGTACAAGGTCGACTACTGTGAACCGGCTTAACCAAGAGGTTGGCAAACTTTTGGTAAGGAGTCAGATACTAGCTATTTTAGGCTTTGTGGGCCATAGTTGTAATGGGAAAGCAACTATAGACAGCACACCATGAATGGATGAAGTTTTGTTTAAATAAATACTTTCAAAGATAGGTGCTTGATCTGATTTAGTCCATAGGCACAGTTTGCCAATCTATGGTCTAAAAAAATGATTCTAGCAACTGCGGCTGTAGGCAATACTACACCATGTTTTTGAACTGATTTTTATTTATATCTGAAAAGCAATATCACCCAACATTTGCACTGATCTAGTCTACGTGGCTTTAAATTCTGGTATTTACACTGGCACTAACAGTGTGATTTTGGGGCACTTCTACTTCTCTTTCCATCAGTTTTTTATCTTGTGAAATGGGGATAACAGTACTTCTCACAAAGAGTTGTTTTGAGGAGTCAATGAGTTATAGCACATAAAATATCAACATAGTGCTTGCACATATACCAAAAGCTCAGTATTAACCATTATTTAAAAAAATGTTCCTCACATGCATTATTAAATCAGATCTGAGAGCTGTTTCTAAAGTTCAAGGCTAAATGCGTTTAGCTACAGAGCAAAGACAGTAAGTTTTTAGGGCAAGAACCTAATTTTGATGGGATGATCAGGAGAGAATGAGAGTAAAAAGGAGAAAGAAATCAAGGATACAAAGCAGTATGATAGGAACCAAAATAGTATTGTTAGTATGTCCACAAGCAGAGGGGTAGTTGATAATGGTTAACATTGTCAGATGCTGTAGAGAAAAAGTCATGTTGATAGTATGAATTCAACTACCATACATTAATTGAGTACATCCTATGGTCAGATACTGGGGATATATTAAAGGATTGGTAAGTATGCTGTATCAATAGAGCAAAAGAATCTAATCAGAGGGAAAGACCTAGAAATACTTTAATATATAAGTAGTTTTTTAAATAATCAGGAATAAGATAGAATTCTTAAATTGATACCTTTATTTTAAAACTAAGATTTAAATGAACTTAGTTCATAACAGTAGGCAGCTTAATTGAACTCCTTTTCTTTCTTCCTAGAACATGGGCAAGAACAAATTAAGAGGGCAGAAGTCCCTGAATGTATTTCACATAGCCAGCCAAAAAAACTTTAAGGCTAAAAACAAAGCAAAACCAGTTACTACTAGTCTTAAGAAGGTGAGTATTTGTTATATATGCCGACTTTATTGTTTGCAAGGAAACCACAGTGGTAAAGCTCCTGAACAGCTGAATTCTATTGAAATCAGAAGTTCTTTTGTTTAAAAAAACAAAAAATGGAAGAAAAATAATGTTTTCTTTTTTCAAATTCAAATGTAAAAAGGCATTTTAAGTGTAAGTGTGAGGTATAATAGTTTGATGACTTTATTAGAGCACAGGAATCATTTTTTAAAATAAAAACTACTATATGGAAAACAGTTCTATGGGGGCTGGGGATGTGGCTCAAGCGGTAGCGCGCTCGCCTAGCATGCGTGCGGCCCGGGTTCGATCCTCAGCAGCACCACATACCAACAAAGATGTTGTGAAAAAATAAATAAATGTTAAAATTCTCTCTCTCTCTCTCTCTGTTCCCCCCCTCTCTCTCACTCTCTCTAAAAAAAAAAAAAAAAAAAAAAAGAAAACAGTTCTTATTTCTGAACCCTCTATTCAAGAACCTACTAATAGAGCTCACATATGGAATGTCAGCCGGTACCATTTATTTTTCTCCTCAGGAATTTTATCTTGGGACTCAAATGAAGATAAATTAATCTGTTTCTTGAAGTGCAAAATTTGAAAAGGAGTTTTACCTTCTTTATATTTTAGAAGATTTGAGTAATTTCTTCAAATAGATATCTTTAACATTCTTTTAAGAAAATGTTTCCAAATTCAAATAGTAGGTAGAGCCAGTTATCCAGGAGTCAGTGACTCTCAATAATCATAGAAAAGAGAGATTTTCTTTTATCTCATATAAGAGTTAAGCTTTTAATCCAGCAGTTTGGCTTTGTAAATGCTGTAAAGGAAATAAATCTGAGTGATACCATGGGTTTGAAGTTGAGTTTTACATCGGATCATCTTCATAGTTGACAGTGAAGCTAAGACAAACAGGCTTTGCTAGGGAAGGTTGTAAGATTGCCAGACATTATATATGAGTGGTAAACTGAAGTTTGTGGTGATGAATTTAAAGTCAGTCAGTTGGTTGTGACCAGGTTGCCAAGCAAGTTTATCAAGGGAAAGATGAGAGGGGAAGTTGAGTGTAAAGAAGTTAAGTGATAAGATGATGGTCATGAAAACTGTGCTGGTTGAGGAGAAAACTAGGATAGAAGAGCTGAAAAATCATGAAATTGTTGGGAGTTTAAGAATTGTTAATAAACTAAATGAGCTATAAGGAGGGGAAGTAGTTGCAGAAGATATAAGAGTAACTTAGATAGTGGAAAAGGTCCCTGGAGGTGAGAAATTCAGAGGCCATATGATTAGATTTTTGATGTCACTAGGCATGAGAGGGGTAAGTGAGCCAAGGTTTGAAATATTTCATGAAGGATCAATAATTGTGGTGTTGGTAGGTGACAGCAATGAGTATGGGGTACCAGAATGTTCTCATGCTTATGGTGCAAAGGAGCTGAAGGTTTTAAGGAAATTGTTTTGATAGTATCACTGAATGTCAGAACACTCCACCCACCTCTTTGAAAAAGGGCTTCTGGGAGCTTCCATTAAGATAAGGTGGTCAAGGATTCAGAGTCTACTGAAAAAAGGGGACTAAAAGCATTTAAATCAGATTTGTTTTACAGATGAAGAATGATAGCATGTCAGCCTCGAAAAGATTGGTCATCACATATTGTGGCCTGCTTATGCTAATGAAGTCTAGATAATGAGACATATCCATCATTTTTAAAAATCCAAAAATCTTAGCTAAAATTTCCAGGTAAGACTATAACAGATTTAGTGTGAATTTGTCCCACAATTTGGTAGCGTCAGTAACACTTTTTAGGTTTAACAAGAGTAAAGATGAATACATTTTATCTAATTATTATGAGATTGTGGATTACTCCCTTTTTTTTTTCATAGATAAACATTGTGAATAATGAAAAAGTTAACCGAGTGAATAAAGCTTTTGTGAACATACAGAAGGAACTTGCACACTTCTCAAGAGGCCTTTCTCTGGAACCTCTCCAGAAAGAACTGGCAAGTAGAAATCATTAAAAATTAAAACTTCCCATTTTCAAAGCCTATAAATTGAATGAAATTTTTAGTAGTTGGCTTATTTGGCTTTATAGTATGTATGGCATATGCATTCATATTCAGACTCTGAAACATTTAGACTGAATATATGAATTTATTGTTCTACTTCCAAAAGGTGTGGACTAGAAGAAATTAAAATGGATGGGCATAGTGGTGCATACCTGTAATCCCAGCTACTTGGGAGGCTGAGGCATGAGGATCACAAGTTCAAAGCCATCCTTGGGAAAAAAAAAATAAGTGATTGGGGATGTAGTTTATTTAGTGGCAGTGTAGTTTAGTCCTCAGTTTAAATTTAAAAAAAAAAAGAAAATTAAGAGAAAATTAAACTGGATAATAGATTATACACAAATTATTTTTGTTATCTAAATTTTTAACTATATAATACTTTTCTCCCTTCAGAGTCCTCAGCATCATGAAAATGAACCAGTTAATGTTGATGAAGCTACAAGATTAATGGCTCAGTTGTAATGTAATGGTGATGTATCAAATTCCCCTTCAAAAGACCAATAAATTAAATGTTTTATACAACTTTATTTTTAAAAATCTTGTTAATGTACAAGCATTGGCACATTTAAAAAACAAACTACATAAACAGATCTTTCCTATACTCTAGGAAAGTGGAATGTCAGAAGTCAACAAAATGTGATAAACTTAAAGTGCTAAAACAGAAGGCACTTCACAAAATCTGTTCACTGAGACAGTTACATATCCTCATTTACATCCTTCATTTTATAAGTGGCAGTGAATGTCTGTTTGGATTGAAGGATATTCAGAAATCGTTTCATGGCAGTAAAAATACTAGACAAACAGTGATTAGCCCTTGGCCAACATTTTTTGTTTTGATGTCTTGAAGTCTACTTTTATCTTCCTTTCCATAAGAGGAGAAAACAGAAGGATTCAAAATTGAAGGAAAATTAAAATCCAAAAATGTAACTAATTGTTTGTAGGGGAGGCTGGTAGATATTAAATCATTTTTCCCCTATGGCATCAGAGCCCTTTGTTTTTATGGTTGAAGTTTTGTGAAGTAAAAAAGAAAGTATTAGAGAAGAACACTTCAGAATCAGTGAACTAAAAGGTGTTACATTCATTATTTTAAATACTTAGGTTATTAAGAAGTCTAAAATGTTACACAGTTAGAGGTAGATAACAGTCCCAAGTTTCCATAGAATCTAATAATTTAGTATCTGGACGTCAAACAGATCGCAAACTCCTTCATTATCATCTAAATTAAAGTTGTAGTCATCTGCCGGTGTAGGAGAAAGCCGTAAGAGAGGAAACACTGCAAACAAGAATGGATTCAATGTTAAGGATGCATAATGATGTTTAACGTAAAACAGTATCAAATATATCAATTCAAATGATCTCCTAGGTTACACATGATTTTTTTAAAATTACGTATAAAATAATGATCATTAATATCCAATTTTAACAAACTTTGAAAGATTCTCACATAAAGGCAATTTATACATTGGTTAAATAAGGTTAAAATTTTTATTGGTTGAACTTATCACTTAAACACATAATCTAAAAATTCTGTGAAGTATATTGCTGATGTATGCACTAGATTTAAAATTTGCTGATGTTCTCTAATGTTTAGTAAATCTCTTTAAGTCATTACTGTACTACTTGCTAACTTAACTGCAACCACTTCCAAGGTCTCTGCTAACTTTGTTAGGAACCAGTACTCTGAATCCAAGAACTAAATAGAAAAGTGGAAGCCCAGAAATTATTAATTAGTATATTTTAGTTAATTGATTTAAGAATTATTTCAGATTAGGTGATGCGATGGCTAATATTAGTAATAGTTTGGTAATTCACATTGGTGGCTTGATAATGGTGTGGGTTTTACTGATTGATTTCAACATACTATTTTACTCTTCTTGGGCCAGATTCTTCAGGGGTGCAAAGTGCTAGTTAGGAGTTTATTTAGTAAAAGTAGTAAATCTCCCTTTATGGACTCCTTCCCCTTGAGATGCAAGCAAAGAGAAATAAATTCTGAATAATAGCTCTGATTTACTATAAAGTACTTTATTAAGGGAGAATCCATGTATCATAGGAAAGCAATTAGAAAATAAAGGTTCTCCATTTCTCTTAAATCACACGGCAGTTAAAAATAGTAGGAAAGTATTATTGATTTAAATAAAGTAGTATAATTTTAAACTGCTTACCATCAGAAGACATTAACTCATCAATGATATCTCCACTGAGAGATCCTGCTGGAAAAAGAAATGTGACAAATTTTATTATGTCTGTTTATGAACTTTAGAAAAAGGCTATTATATTTAAACACACAGTCACAATACCAGGTTCACTGACAAAGAAAATTCACTAGAATTTTGTGAAAAGATCATTTTCATGAGTACCTACTTTGTGCCTGGCATTACTTTTAAACTTACAAACTCAAGATGCAGACCAAAAGACTAATTAGTCTTCCAAAATAAACTTAGTTTTATAAAGTCTGGTGTTATAATTCTCCGAGACATACAACCTTAAAACTTCATCACTTTCCATTATTCCTATTCACTTTATCTACAGATCTCGCACATGAGATGTTAAGTATTTTGACCTTACTGTTCAGCACAGTTGCATAATCACAAATAATTTTCAATCTCCATAGCCTCTTGTCTCTTCTGCTTCCTCAAAGCGTCTTCTTAGTTCATTATTCCTGTGCTCACCACTGTGTAGCTCTAATTGTACCATTTTCCTTTGTTACAGATCTTAACTAGTTCATTGGCTAAAGTCTTAACTCATTACTCTGATGTTCAAGGCTTTCTTTAATCTGTCCCAAAATTATTTTCCTCACTATTTCCAAATGTAAGTGCATATATAAGAACCAAATACTAAAAACAAAATTTAATACTCTGGAAACGTTAAATTGGCACATACAATTTGGTGCATATAATTATGCCTAAGGCATATAAAGATTGCCTGCTTAATTCATGCTAATTAGACTAAAAACTTCTAAGGACTACACCTTCAATTGTGCATTTCTATTATTTCTGCTTCAGAAATAGGAAGGAAGGAGAGAATATGGACAACAAGAACAAAAAAGTAATCCCACGTCTAGTTACATCTTCTCAACTTCACTTTTTTAACTGTTCTGAACTCCCATAGTAGCAGCAACAAGACATCCCATAGGTAAACAACAATTCATTCATTAAAAAAATCATTGCTACTCTATATCACACTCCCTTTATTTGGAATCAGTAAGCTAAGTTGTTATAGACCCAGTCCTGGAACCAAGGGAAAACACTGGGTTCCAAGGCATTTTTTTTTTTTAAATAAATTTAAGAATTGTCACTCCTATCTCCCGATACCCAATGTTTAGTGTTTTAGTTATATATCATCTCATAGTTGAAACAATTTAGAAAGGCATCACATAGGAAAGAAGAGTTCCTATGTAATTGGTGTTGACACCATTTATCATCTCTAAAACTAAGCTTCCCTAAAAAAAAAAAAGTACAAAAAAGAACATGGAGAAATGGGAGGTCACTATGTTCTCAATTTTTCTTAAGTAGTTAAAACACATTTTTAATAATTTATACTAGACTTACTGAGATAATGACCTTACCAAGTAAACTTAAAAGGAATGAATTTGACTTAATTAATCCTAAAAATGGAATTCTAAAGGAAACAGCAAACCCTGATGCCCATAAATATCATGCTAAGTATCAACAGTTCTTTACACAATCATAAACACATTATATCTTATTAGATATTTCTGAATTGTGTATATATTGATATATATGTACATGCATATATAGACTAAAGAGTGTTTTAAACTTTCTCATAAGCACATAAGAGATACTAAATTAATACATGTTGATTAAATTAAATTCATGCTGTTGCCTCCCATATTAGATGACAAGAATAATATCACAAATAATAAATCTCCAACTTACATGATAATCATATTTTCCCCTCTACTTTTAAAAAATTTTCCCTTCTACTTTCCCTGAACCCACCTGAAGATATTTCTGTAGCTGGTATCTGCTGAAGATTCTGGCTTCTTTCGGAGACAAGTTGCTCAGGCAGATTCTGAGCTGCTATGTTCGGTTTTTGTGGAGTCACTGGAGTTGAGGACTGAGAGGAAGGCTGTGTGAGGTCATCAGGTGGGGGAACAGGAAAAACCACAGGCTTAGATGAACTGGACTCTTTATTTATAAGCAGCACGTGGATAGGTCCTGAATGACTCTTTAAATTGATCTGGTATTTCTTTTGTCCATTCTGACCCTTTGAAATTATTTGGAATAAACAAAGTAATAAATATTAATATTTTAGCTATCCTGAAACATTAAAAATTAAGCAAAGGCATTAAGTACTAATTGAAATCATACAACAACATAAACTCATAAAGCTGAAATGTAAAGATGAGTAGAATGGGATATTGATGGCTCTAAACAACTGGCCACTAAAAAGTAAGCAAGCTTTTCTCTAATACTGATCATCAGAAACTCTCAGCTATAGAATTCTGACAGCCATACACTTTTCACTGTGTGTAATCCTATCTGTCCATGCTTAGCAGTCCCCCAAGCATTCTCTACAAGCACGAGTTCTATCCCCTGGAGTTACCCACTATGAACAAAGTCAATGACCTTTTTTTTTTCTTTTTTTTTTAAACAGAGATATAAATATAAATCCCTCCATTTCAAAAGTAATTTATATCCTGAAACTATAAAATGCTGTAACATAAATGCCTAAATACAATCATTACTCATTCCTTAATGAACTCTAAATCAAATAAAGTCAAACATTTTTTTAAACTTGTAATCAACATTAAATGGTTTATTCAGTTACTTCTATAATTCTACCACTGACAACATCCAAATTCAGATATCAATATTTTCAAATATAAAACTTGAAAACAGTAACTCAAACGTTAACTATTAGCCTGAGATCCACTTTTCCCATTTACTTAAAAGCTATACTACTTACCATTTCTGGAATAGGTACCTCCAGCTGTGTACCAGAAGGTGCTTGAATGGCCAAAAGTGTATCACCTGGTCAAAAAAGAAAAAAATTAGAAATTAATGTTGATCAGGATATAAGGGGCAGACTTTGAGCTGTTAAGATTTTTATCTTCTGGATGCTGTATTTTACTATTCATAAATCCATATATTTTATCTGTATTATTTATTTGGTCACTTTAATTCATTTTTCTATTTGGTGAAGGACAAGTGTCAAGGAATTCTGGTTTTGTTATTGTTTAATATGAAGTCCAATTATTTCAGCACTATTTGTTGGAAAGACTGTCCTTTACTCATTGGATTACTTTGCTCAAAATCATGTATGTGTGGGTTGTTTTTGAAATTCTGAATTTTGTGCCATTTTTTCCTACATGTCCATTTTTATGCCAAAAACACACTGTTTTCAATTTTTAAATCAGGTAATGAGTCCTTCAATTCTATTCTTTTTTCACTTATGTTGGTTATTCTAAGTGCTTTGTATTTCCATATAAACGTCGTAATTTGCTAGCAAATCCCCCCCCAAAAAAAAGAAAAAGAAAAGAAAGAAGGAGGAGAAAGAGAAAAACCACTTCAGATATTTGGACTGGGAGAAAAGAAAGAAAAAAAAAGACTATATAGGCCAGAACGGAGGCTCAAGATTAAGTTTGGGTTTAAATCCCAGGCTAGATAACCTTGGATCCTATAAAATAGGGGACATATAGCTTATTGCATAGGTTTATTTTGAGTATTAAATGAGGTAATACATGTATTCATGGGTCATAGGACAGTAAATTGTGTTAGCTCTATTACTTTCAACAAATTCAACTCAATATAAAGTCTGATTCTTCAAATCTTTTGGCCTCAAATAAATAATACTGTTTACTTGAAATTTTTTTTGAGAGAGAGAATGAGAGTTTTTTAATATTTATTTTTTAGTTTTCAGCGGACACAACATCTTTGTTTGTATGTGGTGCTGAGGATCAAACCCAGGCCTCACGCATGCCAGGCAAGCACGCTACTGCTTGAGCCACATCCCCAGCCCTACTTGAAATATTTAAACTATTTAATTAACTGAAAAATTAGAGATTAGGTAAGAGAGTAAAATGTTGGCTTTTAATTATTTTTGAAGCCAAATTTTACAGACTGATTTCTGTGGAACTGAAGATTAACAAAAAATTCTCCAAACTTTCTTGGAAAATGTGTAAGAACTATCCTGACAAAATAGAACAATAAACCCACACACATTTCCAACAGAGTCTTTATGGAGAGTCAGATTCTGCTTGATAAGGAAACTTGCCCTTTGTGGTTGTATGTAAGTGTATATAATACATATGGCTGTACTTTTAATAAACATGGACACAGAATTAAATATCAATATGTATGCAGATTTCATTTTACTTATGTTTTGGGAATACAAGTCCCTACCTCATTTTAGTTATTAAAACATGATATTATCATTTCAAGGGGTAAACATGGGGGCAGAGGATGGAATGGGAATAGGAAGAATTTTCTAGGTTATTAAAAAAAAAAGATTCATCTAATTCTTTCCACATGCTTTCTTTGGGTTCCATTTGTGACCAGCTCATCTGCTATGTACAGTTTCATACAGTGCTGAAAAGAACTGTGTTCTTGTTCAAGTTTCGGTCATTGACTTTGAAATTACTTGGTCACTGACTTTGGAATTATTGTTCAATCCTGCTTTGATTTAGGTTCCTCTCCACCCCCTGGCCCTCTTCCCCTCCTGCACTTGGGTTTATGCCTAACAATGGAGCCAATGAATTGAAAGCTGTGAAAAGCAGTTATTTCCATGAAAACAGAAACAAAAGAAGTCTATCAACACACAACACTATAGAATAAGAAAAAATATCTACAAATTCCTCCTGAAACTGACGACTAAGGCTGAGTGCATGAGAAACTCTGAATTGTTCTACAATCAATAGAGGAAGAACATAGGGAAAAGTAATTACTTACCATTAAAGCAATTACAGATGTCTTCATGAGTCACATAGGAAAATGTACTGTCGTAAGAGTTAAGGAACAGCAATTTATATCAAGGTCCACACAATAAATTAAAGTAATAAATCTGAAGATCAAAAGAATTCAATCACCAAATGTATAAAAGGATTACCATACATGGTCAGATAATAAGGAATGGGAGTCTGGAAAAGCAGATGGTCCACAAGAGGAGTTCTTTTCCTTTGCTTTGAGAAGCCTCCATTATGACTTCCGGGACATCTGAGGGTTTTTGGGATAGAGATGGAAAACAGTGTCCACACCAGGGACCTGGGGCAGGAGGCGGGAAAGCAATGGATGGGAAAAGGACAGGAGTGGAGAGCAACCATACAAGCTTCCACATCAAGACTTTTCTTGGGCCACTGTTTCCTGCTCCTTTCCCAATCAGGTATAGACAGGGAGAAGCCTTAGAAAACAAATTTATTATACTCCCAGGTCCAAAAGACAGAAGGCATGTAGGCCATGTTGGGAAGATGTTAAGGTAGTCAGGAGGCAGAGAATAGGGGAGAAGAGAAAGCATCAGGTTAGAACCTTTGTTAGGGTTTCCACGAGGACAGCAGGGCAAGAAGAATGAAAATTTCAGGAGTGGCTAGTTTGAAAAATTTTGGCAGGCTATATGCTACCCTTGTTTTCCAGCCCTGGAAGAATGAAAGCAGAATATTGCCTCCTTGAGACTATGGATCAGACAGAGGAGTAGAGCTCAGGACCGGTTAGTCTGTGTATCAAAATGCTTGCTCCTGACTGAGTCATTCTTTCTTTCTAAAAATTGGAGCCCTCAGAGAGGCAGCTTCTCCCCAGCCTGAAAGATTTTTATAAGATGTCAAATATCATACTACACAAAAAAATCATACATACATACATTTAAGACACAGGCATGGTTTGGAAAATCGTGGATGGCCAGAGTTATACGATTGTGAAACAGGGAATCAAAGTCAAAGATCACCTACTTCAATGGTTTTTGAATCCTGGGGGCTCTATAGGACATGGCTAAAATCCCCAATGTTCTCACACACTTAAGGAGTTCTGATCCATAAAAAGCAAACAACAAATAAGACCATGACCTGTCCACCAAATACAACATGAAAAATAATTATGTTGTATACATTACTAAAAACCGCACAAGGTGGTATATATAAACTGTAGTTAAAGATTTCATGAGAAGTGGATGTGGTGGTGCACACCTATAATCCCAAAGATTTGGGAGGCTGAGACAGGAGGATCACAAAGTTCAAAGCCACCTCAGCAACTTAGCAAGGCCCTGTATTGAATTAAAAACCAAAAAGAGCTGGTAATGTGGCTAAGTGGTTAAGTGTCCCTGTACTCCCCCCCCAACACCAAAAAAAAAAGGTTTCATAAAAGTACTAGTAAATTCACAAACCACCAGAATCACAAGTATCTATGAGTAGGTAGTGGTTTATAAGAAATACATGGAGTACATCACATTTTTCTCCAAGCACAATATGGTTACAAAAAGATACCTGTCCTCCAGTATAAAGTGTCTTTGACAAAATATCAGGCAGAAAGCACCATGAATCAATTGTGGACCCATATATCTCCAAATCAAAATTATTTTCAAAACTTTTGAGAGTTGCTGAATTTTGACCACTTCAGGATATTGAACATAGTAATTTAAAAATATGTATGCACTTAGCACTATTCACAGACACTTCCCCCCATCCTAAGCACACTCTGGCAAATACACTGCATCCTATCAATAGGTGAATTGAAAATAGATTAAATTTTTCCCTTCAATGCAACACAGGAATAATGTTAATATACTATGTAAATTTGAAAAAATTAAAAAGCTAATATTTATAAATTATTAGAAGGATATTACAGAATGTTGTATTCATTTACAAAAGTCTAAAAGACCAGAATAAAATAACTGACCTTCAGACTAGAACACTGTGAACACTGTATTATATACATACATATTCTACAGCTGTATGTATGACTTATTTGAAAGGATATCTATTATTAATGGAGTCGTCCATCACATTTTTGATGCTTTGTTGTAGCCACAACTTCTGCTGATCAAGTTCTCTTTCCTTTAGTTCTAAATCTTCAATCTCAGCTTTAAGAAATCTTAATCTGTCTATAACTTCTTTAGTGTTACAGCCAGCACCTACACCTCTTGAAAACATAGAGAATTAATATTCCACATCAGTCCTAGGTTAACATACTTAAATTTTGTAATAATAAAACTAGTTTATTAATTTATTCAAAATGAAAATGTTTAACACTCTCCTGAAAATCAAGCATTAAAATCTTTACAAAATGTCAACACAATAGCTCCGAACCTACTTTCTTGAAAAATTGACAAGAATCACCAAATTACAAAAATTCTCAATATGCTGTAGAATATTCGACATCTTCTGGAACATCCTCTGGTGACTGAGTACCAAATGGATGTTAAAGCTAAATGGTCACACCTAACAGTCTCATGATGTTGGTAAAACAAATTACAACCTTTTGGTATTTTGGTGGAATTTTGGCTAATAAAACAAAACCCTAAGGTCAAAGAGGGCACTCTGAAGAACAAAATATATTTGTCATAAACTACAACCATGAGTTAATAACATCATGAATCTTAATTATTATTTAGAAGACATTCTTTTTAAAAAAAATTTTTTTGAATTGTTGAGGGACCTTTATTTATTTATATGTGGTGCTGAGAATCAAATCCAGTGCCTCACACATGCTAGGCAAGGGCTCTACCCCTGAGCCAACACCTAGAAGACATATTCTCATGTGTAAGATGTAGTTCCTGTTTTCAAAGAGTTTCTCTTCATTGGGTACAGATCTGGGCTGTAATCAGGGGGATTAAGAATACAAAGAAGTATGCAATATGTGCCAAATGAATAAGCAGCTTGAGGGAGAAGATAAGATTTGACCTTTGGGTATAAATTAAGTAACAAAGAGAGGAAAGGAACATTCTAACAGTAGAGACATACATAGAGGCCAGAGGAGTGTCCAGGAGAAAACATGAGAGGGCTGGTGTGACCAGAAAGCTGAAATAAAGAGTATTTGGAGGAAGAAATGTCAGAAAGATCAAATTTTACAGAGCAAAATAAAGGTTTTTAGAATAGGGTGCTGGTTTGTTACTTACTTCCATTGGATACTATTTTTTGACTTTTTTTCAATCAGATCAATTCCTTCTAAGACATTGGTGATATCATAAATTCTTCTTTTTTGCCTCACAGCTAAAGTATCTGCAGCCTGTTTGGAAAAAACAAGCAAACAAACAGAACAATGAAATAAAGGACATCATATTTTAAAGCGAAAATAGGTCGATTATTAGGTTTACAGCATGAGAGTACATCCCAAATATGACCCAGTCAGGTGCTTGGGTACAATAGCTGGATATGTTCAAAGCATCTCCTGAACATTAACAATACCACAAAAACTTTTTCTACTTAGGAGCTAGAAGATGTTAGATGGGGGGGGGGGGAGATAATGATAAGGTCATGCCATAAAGCCCATAAAAATAAAAAAGCACAATGAGAATACTTTCATGTCTCCTTATGGACTAATCTGAGCAAGAGCTAACTGTTTATGCTGTCACTTCCTATTCTACTTCTCTGTTCCTGTTCTACTTCTTCTCATCTAAAAACAAGTTTTACTCGAAAAATTGAATCTCTACAGTATCTTTTTTGGTAATTAAGTCACTTGAGGGAAAATTCTTAATTAAGACAGAATTTTTTGATAACTGTCTGCATTTTTAAAACTCAGAATGAAAACACAGAAATGAATCACGCATAAGAAATAAAAAATTATTGCACAGTTGTGGCACTAACAACTATTGCACAAAAGCTTGGTGGTTTTATTCACATTACATGAGATCAACAAAAATATTACATGCTACCATATTATGAATGAATTCAAGAATAATGTATAGTTCTTCTAGTTAGTTTCCCCACTCACATTTCTGACATTTATTTCCCAGTAGAACAGAGAGAACTTCAAAAAAGAGGTTAGGGGCTGAGAATATAGCTCAGTTGGTAGAGTGCTTGCCTCTGCATGCACAAGGCCCTGGGTTCAATCCTCCCACCCCCAAAAAAGTTTCCCTACATCTCGTTTTCAAAGTTTGTTAGAAAACAGTCTATTTTGAAAGTACAGCCACATATTAAGATTCATGGCAATAGGGGCTAGGGTTGTGGCTCAGCGGTAGAGTGCTCGCCTACAGCACATGAGGCACTTGGTTTGATCCTCAGCACCTAATAAAAATAAAAAGTATTGTGTCCATCTACAACTAAAAAATAAATATTTTTAAAAGATTCAAGTCAATAATGTAAAGGTTTATTTATGTCCCTACTGACAATTTCCAGAACGGTATCTAAATTAATGAACAGGATTTAACTGCACATAATTGGTTACCAGCTCTCCTAGGGCATTATTACTTTCTTGGTTCTGTAGCTCCTACAAAAACCCAGCAGAGCACAGTGTGAATCCAGACCTGCCTTGCACGGACAGTACCACTGATGGCTACTCCTCTCTTCACAGGCATTTAGAGTCTTTAGTAAAGTGGAGGCACTCTAAATCCACTTACCTACCACCCACCCATTCAGTCCTTCAAGAAAGGGATCAGAGCCTCTATCAGTGGACCAGGAGAGTAGGTAGGATATGGGAGAGAAGAACTAGGAATTGAGGCTCTTTGGAATCCACAACTCTTGACTTGGCACTGTCTCTTCTTAAGAACCAGAGAACTAAGAGCAGGACTAGAACTAGGCATAGTCTCATTGGTATCTTCTTTGCTGTACTTAGCAATTCCCTTCCTGATTTATTTACCTTCAAAGAATGTATGTTCTGTTTTTTGAGTTTCAGACTGTTTTCCTGAAGAGCAGCGGTCTACTGCAAAGTTAACCATAAAATCTAAGGTCGAGCTGTGTGCAATGGCACACACCTACCTGTATTACAGCAACTCGGAAGGCTGAGGCAGGAGGGTCCCATTTTCAAAGCCAGCCTCAGCAACTCAGTGATGTCCTGAGCAACTTAGCAAGACACTCTCTCAAAAAATAAAACAGGCTGAGGATGTGGCTCAGTTGGCTAAGCACTCCTGGGTTCAATTGCAGGGAACCCCCTCAAAACAAGCTGAAGTTGAGAATTCACCTCTCTCTCTCCTCTGAGAAGGCACACTTGAGAAGTGACCCAGAACACTCCTATCCAGGGCTGTGTTCTGAGTGTCTGTGTACTCATTCACACACCAAAGTGTTCACTACCATGGCAAAAGCTCACTTGGTGTGCTGTTAGAGCAAGTTTGAACCAGACCCCAAGTCATCAGGCAGGGTGCCATCAGAATGAACTTGCAGCTCAAAATTGTTAAAAAGTATATTTATTACTTCTTAATAGTCACAATATTTAACCCTGCTTTCTAAACTAACCAGTATTTCTCAAATACTTTTCTATTTAAATACCTGGATGTCTGACACACATATAACCACACCTCTCAAGAGGACCTCCAGGAAGTTTTTCTTTCAGCAGTCATTTTATTCATACTGATGCACTCCTGTAATTCCAGGGACTCAGGAGACTGAGGCAGGAGGAATCACAAGTTCAAAGCCAGCTACAGCAATTAGTGAGGCCCTTAGCAACTTAGCAAGAGCGTGTCACAAAATAAAAAATAAATACAGGGCTGGGGATGTGGGCTCAGTGACTAAACACCCCTGGAGTCAATCCCCAGTACCAAAAAAAGAAAAAAACATATTATGTTCTGGAGTTGAACCCACCAAAATCCAGTTCTAGCACTGCTACTTCCAATCTTCAGCTGATCTCCTTAGCTCACTGAGCCTTATCTCTTTATTTGGAAAATAGGACAATAATATAAAGCAGGACAGCAGACAGTATAGAAGGAATATGGCACAGCACTACTGGCTCTTGGGAAGTTGGTGCTCATGATTTAGCAGTGAGACTCACCAACATCACTATGCATTTCTCTCTGGCCCAGGAGAACTGCCTGAGCATTGACACAGGGTGGGCAGAGACCAAAGTGAGTTACTATCCTTATCCTATGCCTGCTACTGAACTGGAGAACATGTGCCCATGTTCTTAAATTCATTAAACTCCATTTCAAAAGGTTACATTTACTGCAATAAGATTTGACTGATACAGTCATAAAGGAAGCATCTGGTTATATCATACCAACTCAGTTTGCAGAAAAAGTAAACAAAATAATCCTCTAAAGAAATAGATCACTCCTCCAAAAATGAAATCCTATCCTAAAAATATGATGTTTCACCAATGGTTAACAAAGCAATATCCACAGGCAAAACAAAATTGAAGCCCGTGATGCTGTGGGCAAACCAAATAAACCAGGACAGCTACAACTGTACAGAAGTGCTAAAAACAGCTTGGAGAATCATGATACAACCTGCCACTTGAAAAAATGGGTCCAACAAGGCCCAGTGCAAAGTGGACAAGGAGTGAGACTATCTGGTAGCTTTGAGTTAGGATCAGTTGCAACTCACTTGCTCAGGAATGTTCTTCTCATGGAGCATAAAGTTGCCTTTAAAAAAGCTAACATGAGGGGCTGGGGTTGTAGCTCAGCAGTAGAGTTCTAGCCTAGCACATGCGAGGCTTTGGGTTCAATCCTCAGTGCTACATAAAAATAAATAAAATAAAGGTACTGTGTCCAACTACACCTAAAAAATAAATATTAAAAAAAAGCTAATATGAGAATAATAACTGTAGAAAACACCCCATCCTCGGGTCCTCCATCTGCAAAGCAGGTAGTTTCCCTTCCAGGGCATACAACAGTCAATATATACACACTTGATATTTTAGCTACTGTGCTTCAGAAATTCATATTATAATGAGAAGGAAAAGAATGAATAATCAAAAATGTATAAGAGCAATAGTGTATAAAAACCAATCTATTCTACCTAAAAATAAGGCAGAAGGACCCTAAGTGAGGCACAGAATGCACGGAGCAGACTTCCTTTCAATTGTGCCATAAGGTATCTTAGGTTGATCTAGTCCAAGGTAAGATTTGTACTAATTATCACCTAATTTTAAATGCTATTAAAGATACTGTGTAGAACATCTGATTTCAATCCACAAGGAAGAACATGTGCAAGGCAAGCACTCTGCTACTGAGCCACAAGAACCATTTTTAATCCAGTAACAGGATAACTGTGTAATAGGATTTTACACAGATTTTATCTAACTTAATCCTTACAACAGCTTTATCAAGTAGGTGTTTTACTCATTCAATAGGAAAATCAGTAGGCTTTGAATAATTAGAGTTGAGTTTGTTAGTAATCATATATTCACAAAACAAGTTTGTGGCTAAACATTTTCAAATGTGTTGAAGTAATTTTAAAATACTTTAAACAAGTCTGGTAAACATCCAAAGGTTTCCAAGTCGTACAACTGCACTGAATATACAAGTTAAGCAGGTCTGGTCTACAGGAGGTTTCATACACAGAGGGTATAAAATGATCTGAAAAAGCAAAAAGATCTTAATTGCCACTTACTATTATTTATTCAAAAATAAATAATAGTAAGAAAAAAGTGCATACATAAGGCTTTGAGACTGTAGCCTACATCTTACAGAATAAGATTAAGACAGTGAAAAAGTTGTATAAAGTAGAAATGTAAAGTATTTTAAAAAGTGGATTAAAAAGTAAATTCTTAGGGTGAGGGCAAAAAGGATAGAGTTCCTGGAGGAGGCCACTGTGTTTGCAATGGGTCTGCAGGGCCATTAAATCAACAAGGAAATTAAATACCAAAGAATGAATAACTGTAAGGACACAAAGGCTCCCTCTAGAAGCAGCACTAAGTACATAATAAGTGTTTCAATTCCTTATCAATGCCCCACCCCAAAGGAATCTCTTCTAAAGAACACCTTTCAGTAGTTTTGCTACCACAAATTGCTACTGTACTATTTTTGAAATACATAGCTTTAAATTTTTTTCATTTCTAATAAACATTGTATAAACTTTTAAAAGTTTATCTTTATTTTTACTATCTTACTCAAGTCACCAAAGAGTGCTAAAAGAAGGAAAAAATCTTGGTAAAGTGTTTAACTAGGAAAATCACGCTGAACCTTGAAATCTATAAATTACAAAGTCTAGAGACTATCTACATCCTCCATTGCATACTTTGAAAATTCTCTTCCCGTAAGTGTTAACTTTCTAAAAAACAGACAAGATTACATATGCATCTGCTATCCTCCCACTGGTCAGCAGTATAGCAGAAAAGGTCATGCACAGAGACTCTGA